GCTTCTGGGAATGCAGCATCTAGAAGTGGGTTGCCAGCATCTGGGGCCCTGAGATTCTACAGGGCAGGAGCTGGTGGCACTTGGGGATCGTGTGCCTCTTAGAGATGCCAGAAGCCATAGGCACAGCCACATACCCCCAGGGAGGTCAAACGCAATCGCAGGAACTACGGCCCCGAAGGTTATGTATGGAGGGGTGGGACCCGGGATGCCTAGACTTGAGGCATTCGTGTGTGTGTGTGTGTGTGTGTGTGTGTGTGTGTGTGTGTGTAAAATGTCATGACCTGAACCCAGCAACATAGTACATGCATAGAAAAAAGACTGGAGGCAACAGATGTACAAATGTGCCTGACACAATGGGTGTATATATGGATTGTGATAAGAGTTGTACGAGCCCCCAATAAAATGTTTAAAAAATAATAAAAGAAAAAGAAAAAGGACTGGAAGGAAACCAGGTTAGAAAACCATGTTGCTATGGTAACAAAACCAACAAACATGATTGCTGCTGTAGCAACAACAACAATTCAGAGCTGCTTCCATGGTGTGGGGCTGTTGGGTGCCAGCCCTGCGCTTGTCTGATCCCAGTCAATCTCCACTACGGGCTCTTCTCTGGGGGGAAGGGGGTGACCAGTGGCCCGTGGGTGGGTGCTGTCACTGTGATGGGCTCCAGCCAGGTCTACGGCGTCCCTGAAGGCGGCTAGGTAAACTCACAGACTCAGTCCAAGGCGATGCTGTGTCCTTGCTGCCAGCAGGCTGGGTGAGAGAGGGCAGGGGGGCCCCTCGGGGATGCCTTCAGGGAGCCAGCCAGGCCCAGCGATCTGATCCCGACCCCCGCATTGGCCCTGCTCCTCCAGGCACTGGGGCTGGAAATAGCTGCTGCTGGAGAGCTGACAATCAAAGGGCAGCTAAAAACAGGCCCCTCTGTCTGGCCTCTGTCGCGCACGGCTCGTAGGGCCTATTTTCGGGGAGAAGGTGCCGACGTGCCAATGGAAAATCTATGGGGTGGGAGCCTTCCAGGTGGGAGGCCCATGCATCCCCTCTCCTCATCCAGACCCCTACCCCTGAGTACATGGATGTGAGCCCACGCAGGCACACATGCACACACACACACACAGACACACATGTACACATGCATGAGCACACGTGCACGTACACACCCACAGGAACATCCAAGCACACAGAGATGTGCACACTTACTCTACACATGTGCACACATGCATGCACACATGGACACACACGCGCACACGTACATGCACAGCCTTAGCCTGTCTTCCTCATAGTTGGACCTTGTCGTGCTTACAACCATCTGAGAAAGGGACAAGAATACTGAAGCTCAGAGAGGGGACGTGACTTGTTTGAGATCACACAGCTAGGGCAGTGGCCTCGATCCCCAACTGCCCCCTGGTTCACAGTCCAGGGCTCTTGAGAGGCAACCCCCTCCCATGGGGAAGCCAACACCTGTCCTCTGGCTGGGAAGGCGCTCAGAGACCCAGCATTCTAGGTTGCACTGGGCAGCAGGCGGAGGATGACTGAAGGGTCCCAATGCCCACCGGGGGAGACATGCTCCTGGAGACATCCTTGCCTGGCTGCAGAAGTCACCACCTCTCCTCTCCCTCTGTCCCTGTGGCCACCTCCTCTCCCCACCCTGCCAGGGTCCCCGGAGCCTCAGAGCCCCTGCCAAGTTTCCAGGCAATGTGTCAGATAAGGCCTGGTGCTCATGACTCCCTCCCACCCAGCCACTATCTCTGACCCTGCTGCTGCCTCGACAGTAAGAATAGCAACAGGGCAGGCGAGGGTGCTCACCCTCAGGGCCCAGCAGCATCCATGCCAGCAGCCCAGACCTCCTTCCCCATCAGTCCAGCCCCATTGTTCTGGGCTCAAAGACCCACAGTACTTTGTGGTACAGTAGGAGCTTGTCCCCTGCCCCAGCTGCCTCTGGAGGGGAGC